CAATTTGATGCTTTGATTCAGTAGTGATGCATATATTGAGAATTCAAATATTTTCTTGTAACACATATGAGACTAATTGGTCTATAGTTTTTTGGATGTTGGGGGTCACCCTTTTTGTATATGGGTATGACTTGGGCTATATTCCATTTTTCTGGGAGGACTGTGTATTTCCAGCATATTTTGAAGATGGCGTAGAGTATTGGTGCTATTGTTTCGGCTATGGGCTGGAACATTTCTGCTTTGAGGTGGTCCACTCCTGGTGCTTTATTTTTGGGTAATCTATTAATGGCATCTATAATTGTTTCCACTGTGAAAGGGGGTACTTGTGTAACCTCCTGGAGGTGGTGCATGATCTAAAGTTAGGTTTTCTATTTGTGTATTTCTGATGTTACCATTAAACGTGTTTTTCCAATTGAGTGTTAGTTTATCGACTGCGTCTTGTGGTCCATCTATGCTTTCAAATGCCACGCGAATTCCTTTATTGGATTTGATGTTTTTAATTTTATTTGTTGCTTTGCTGAATTCCGTTGAGTTTAGTGTGTTGCAGAAGTTTCTAAAATGTTTATTTTTTTCTGATCTTATTTTTTTTCGTACTTCGTCTGCTAAATCTAGGTGTTCTTTCCAATATTTTGCTTTATTGATTCCTGTGCTCTTTTCCACTTTCTATATATTTTTTCTCTTTTTTCTGAAATATTTTGTAATTCTGCCGTCCAAAACCATTTCCATTGTTTTTGTCGTGGTGTTTGTTTATTGATAGTGGCGTCTAGAGATTCATATATTGACGTGCATAAGTTGTTTTCGATGTCATTAATTTTTCCTGTATTTCATATGTTGGCATAGTGTTGTTGTTATTTATTGTGTCTATTAATGATTGTATGTGGGGTATTTTCTGACGCATGTTGTCCTGTAGTCTAAATATATTTGTTTTCATTTGTATTTGTTTCTGTATTACCTTGGGTCGTCCCCTGTGTTGGGATTTCCCCTTTTTTCATAAATTTATTTAGTTGCCATAGTTTTCTTGGATTTATTTAGTTTGCCCTATATTTTGACTGCTGCGCCATTTTGTTCAAACCACGATTTTTTTTTTTTTTTTTGATATCGTCATCTTCTACGTACTTGATCACAGTTAAGAATTGTAATGTTGTCTTATTTTACGTTGATTTTTGAGGAAAAAAACATGCGATATATTCTGATCATTGCTCCTCAACCCGTTTAGTTCATTTGAAGGTTGTTTTGTTGACGATTTCTTGCCCACAAATAATAAAAATAAAGGATGAGAAAGGAATGGTTTAAAATAGCCGATTCAACAAGTCAGGTGTTGCGTTCGGAGACCCAAACAAGAATCACCAATCGCTGTCCTTCAAGAAAATAGCCCAGTTTCAGTTTACCTCAACCTGTGTCATCATACCTCTTCTTTAGAGATTTGCTGGCACTATTAAGCTACATGATACAAAAAATGTCATGATGAGCAAGTGTTTTGTATTCATGTCCAATCGGTTGTGTTTTCTGGGTGCCTTTTTATATCAGGCGCTTCTCCGCCGAGTCACTGATCCAAGCTCTTATCAACTCAGAGATATCTTCCAGGCTCAAGTGGTCTCTAAAAAGTAAATTATTTAGCATACACGAAATTATATTGTTGAGAATAAACCTACCTACAGTCATGACTTGAAACGTGTGCTGTTATTAATATTCAGCTGTACCAACTTTGATTTTATGCTTGATTTGTTTGACTTCAACATAGCCTGTGACTTTGTTGTCGTTCTCGGCAAAGCTTTGAAAGACTCACGTTTTGTACCCGACGCTTAGCACTTGCAAGATGACACTTCAGATTCCAAAGCTATGATTCTCCTTAATCACCAGTTAGAGAAAGGATTACTAAAATGCAAACTTCACGGGGTGGGATGTATTGCGGTTGGAGCTAGCACAATGAATACTTATGATAAGAGAATCCGGTGTATGGTTATTTGAGTAGCATCAATGTCTTTATCAGTAGGGCAGCTAACATTAAGTCACTTAAACATAACATCCAGGTCATCCGAGTCGAAAATCTTTTGGAAGCATGGTTGTAGGTACCTTGTGCATAATTCAAACTCTTTGATCTCCTTCTTTTGGTTGTTGAATGGCAGTGACTTTACAATTGTCTTGACTTGCAGTATACAGATCAGGACTTTATCGGCGGTAACGTTGATCAATTCCAGGATCCGGCTTTTCCTTGTGAGAACACGACAATTAACGTTGATGACGTTGATGAGCAGAGACAACATGACATCCGAAGGGAAGTTTTCCATTTGGTTAAATCCAAGCGACTGATACAAGCTTTGGCGGATTTCAGGAATTGGCTTTTAGAAGTAACTTTCCAATATCGGGTCGCAATAGGTCTTACTGATGAACATAATATTAGACAGAGCAAGGAGATGTTATAGGTAGGATTCGTATGTCAGGAGAGGCCCCATTGAATACAGGATATCGCACCTAAACCGCATCAAACTACTGGCATATTCATTGTTGTCGGGATCGATACTTGTAAGTGGTAGGCTATTGGTGATGATTCTCTTTGCTTCAGCCAAACTGATCGTTTCAGTGGCATCATTGGCATTGGTGGTGGTGGTGATGGGGCTCTTGAGTAACTCTAGTTAACACTTTGCTCAAAATTCGAAATGTATATCTTTTTGAGCTGTCTTTTTCACGCTCTTCCAAGAAGGCTTTCGCGTTTTGACTGCTGCGCCATTTTTTGGAGTCCAATTACCTTTTTTATAGTGATTTTGTCCAAGTTATTGACCACAGTTAAGATTCGTAATTATGCTCTTCTTTTACGATAATTCTTGAAGAAATCAATATGTGGACATTGTAACCTTTGCTTCTCAACGAATTCACTCCACTTGAAAGTCGGTTTGTTCATGAGCAATAAAGAAACAAAGGTGTGAAAAAGGCATTTTTTTTGAAAATTAAATTTTTTATTGAACTTGATAGTCGCACGAGGTGGGACTTGATTTGCAAAAGGGGAATAATTTCCATTTAATAGTAGGAAATGGGTATTTGTTTGTTGCTTTGGTTAAAAATGGGTAGTCTATGAATAGCTACCAGTAAAACAAAGTAGATACACCTTCATACGCTCGATATATTTCACCTAAAAACACGTATATGATACTAAATATATACTAGATGTCCATAAATAATTCATATTGTACTGATCCTCTAAGACAGCACATTTTCGAATAAGGATGACCCGCCACCAGACTGGTAGTTAATGCTCGTGATGGAACAACCCAATACTGATTCTTTTTTATTTGTAGTCGCATATAGTTATGTAGGTGAGTTAAAACTATCTACATCAATACCGTGAATATGGTCAAGCGAAGCAATTCTCTAAGCGCATCATTTTTAGCAGCAAACGGCAACAATTTCACTGATGCCCACTTTCGTCTCGATTTCCAGGAGGGTTGTTAGACGTATAAGTATGATTCTCTAGCATCAGAATATATGAAACCCTTTAGTAAAACACCTGCATCTACAAAAGAGACTTGTGTGTTTGAAACTGAGCCAGCAGCTGTAAGTTCTTGGGATATTGAACAAAAGGCATCAATGCACTTTCGATGGATTGATGGCTAAAGCACTTTTGTTCATCCAAAGTATGCAAGATTGCATGAATCAATTTAACGGCATGAGAGAATATGCTAGTATGATTCGTCGGGATCATTGAAATAGCCAACTAAAACATAAGCTTCAAATGTCTTGAGTTTGCCGAGATTGTCGATAATGTCGATTAAGCACATCATAGTACTTATTACCAATTAAGGATCTGTTTCCTTAAAGCGCGCTAATTCATTTCGAAGAACAATGAAAGTTTGAAACAAAAGATCATCATCAATTTCGTCTTGCGCCAGACAACCTAAAATAACAAAAGCTCTAGGCTGAAGAGCTGGATTGAAACGGAAGGCCATGTTTGTAACCAAACTCATCCATCGAGCGTGCCATGTATTTGCAGCATCTATAATTTTGATGTTAAAAAGACAGTTGTTGTATGTAAAAAGTAGCAAAATATTACCTATCGTTGGTGCAGCATAGTTTGTAGCATCCAATAAAAGACGAACAATTACTTCAAGCGATCCCAGGCTCATGTTTTCAACATTGTCTGTCATTGTCTCCTCAGTAATTGTAAACGCATTGGCATAGGATTTACTAAGGCCAAAATGTACACGATACTTTCCGTCACAGACATCGTTCAAGACATATTTCAGCTTCTTTCGGTTTTCCGGGCGGATATTTTTGTTTGTTACAAGTGCGTGAATAAAGTTCACAACAAGTTCATGTACAGATGATCGAATAAAGGTTGGTCCGGTTGAGACTACCAGCGATATAATGTGGAGTATTTCTGCGACATAAGGTGTTTCAATGTCTTCAGTATAAAATGATATGGTGAGCATGAAGCGCACCAAACAACCAATTTCATGCCACGATTGATGCTTGATTAGGGTTTGCTTGCAGTTGTGAGACGTACTTTGAAGTACTCTGCGCATTCCGGTTAATCACTTTTCCTCGGATAGCATTACAATTCATTATAACAAGCGTATCAGCAATAGCTTCCGCTTGCGATGACCTAATACCACTTTCGACTGAGAACTGAATAAGTGAATCAATCACTAAATTATGAAGTTCATCGATATCCTTTAAAGTATTCCAGATATTTTTTTGAATATGCTCATACACCTGTTATGTTCTTCGTTAATGAAACCTTGTTTTTGTCTAAAAAAATGGATTCATATATTTACCTCGGATTTTTCAGCTGTGATAGTAATCAAAGATCGAATGACATCTTTTACCTTTGATGCATCTTTTCCGTTAAGAGAGTAGGTAAAGAAGACAAGATTCTTCAACCACGGTACCATGTATTCCAACGTAATCATTTGTCGAGATGTCTCTGTGCTTGATCTGTTAAACCCAACTATACATTCATTCAAAAACTCTAATGTCAAATGAGTTTCGCTATTAGCTAGATGCTCACTCGTGCTAACAATAAAGTTGACACTGTTGTGAGGAATACATAAATCTATAGCTTGCACCACAAAGTTGTTAGAGTTGATTTAAACGTTTCAACGCTTAGTACCTACCTCTGGCATTTATCAATTGGTGGCTAATACCAAATCTGAATGATACGCATAATGAATAGAGTAGATTATATGCATTTAGTCGAAGGGTAGGATTATCGCTTCCGATATTTAGCAATCCCATGATCGAATTCGGCCAGGAACATCAGTTGGTCGTATACCATGATTGCGATCTGTAAGGTGAGTATTGGAAGTCTGTTTTTTTCGTTCCATTAAGCACTACAGCCCACATTGTGAGTAACATATTACTTGTTTCGTAAAATTTTAAATATGCTTACTTTGTAAACAACGTCCCAATTTGGCACCGAAGGAATCTTGTAGTTATACCACCATCGTGCGTGATATGAATCCCACCTTTCCTGATGCTCTCTTACTTTCCGGAATAAAAGACCAGAAATACGTCAACCAAATCATTCAAATTATAGACGCTATTTAAAAATGTGTTTAAGCACCAGAAAATTTCCTGATCGCGAATCTAAAGGGGTTTCTGTCAGTAGCAGAGCAAGTGTCGCTATAATTGTATCCTGTACCGTAGTGGCTTGAAAATAGTGCGACCTGGTCTTTATACCAACAGGTATATGTGTCTTGAGGCCAATAATCAGGAAAGCGATTATAACAGCCATTCCCATATTTTTCAATATTATCTTTAAATGGAATTAAATGTCAGTTGATAGATCGATTGTAAAAAGGTACACTAACTACAGGAGTCTTTTGGTAAACGAATTTCGGACAAAGCAATGATTACTTAATTCGCTTATGCTGACGACAGACCGGGTTCGTGTAACTAAATCATTAGTCACTACTTCAGGAAATTTACGAATATAACGTTGCAAATGAAAGTTTGGATTAAATAAATGAGGATTCCACCAAAGATCATCCATTTGAGTAAAAACGAGCTGGAAGAACTGATTCAACCAGTTGACCGGGATTTCACAATGAGCACCGCGTATGTCAAACCAAATGAAAGTTCAAATGGATGATTCAGATATGACTCCATGACCTAAATATAAAGTTAGCTTCTCATGAACTGATATCATTTGGTTATGAGCTTACTCTCAGCATATAGTAGATCAACAGTTCAAAATCAAAGTGTTCGTTGGATATTTTGCGTGGAACGAAACAAAAGGCCGAAAGCCAGGAAACACGCCACGAGAAAACCGCCTTGGTAAAAGACATTTAGAGAGCTGATAGCACCTCCATCTCGGTTCTTATTTATACGAATAAGCTCGCTGGAATAATTGTTACGATTAACAAGTGAATAACTCGCTTAACACAATTTCACATGGAGCTCCTTGAAGTGGTAACTTACGAACTGTTTCTGATTTTGGTAAAGCCTGTTTTTGAAAAGTCAGAATTTGCTGGGAGTCAAGATCACGGAATTAAACCACAAATCCATCGACAGAAGTCTTCGAGGCATCAGGAAATATTCTTTTGAATGCATCCACAATAAACCTAAGCAATTGACAAAACAACCTGACGAAAGTGTGTATCAGTACTAATCTTAAAAAAAAAAAAAAAAAAAAAAAAAAAAAACTCTTTTTTCTTTTTTTTTTTAC